CCTCCACAAACAGCTTTGGCAAATATTTAACTCTTGAACAACCAGAGCCAGAGGATTTCCTGATTCAACGTGTCAAAGTGCACTGGCGCTAACAGAAAGAGCCCCGGGATGGGTCAACCCTATAGAATTAAGTCTCTTTGCACAAAGATCTCACTGGAAAGGACCACTCAGCATTATAGGACAGGTTACTTAGAATACTACTTCCACCTCCCCTCCCCCTGCTTAATGAATGGGGAGAGGGTTGTTTTTACTATTGGGATGGAGGAAAACCCAGCTCGGAAGCAATATCCCCAGGCGTCCCTTGAGCAGCGAGTTTGAAGCCCGCCGCACACTGATGTGCAGCATCTGGATTACGGGAAGACGAAAACCTCCTTTAAGCCGTACCCCTGCAGGATGCAACCGGAGCATCCGCCCGTTGCAGAACGAAGCTGATCAAGACCCAATTCAGCGTCGTGGGTTCTGAAGTACGTTCATGCAAGAACAGAAATTGCCAGCTGGAGCAGGCAGGGCTAATTGAACACCATTTAAAAGCTAAGCTACTTGATTCAAATGTGCTGCCCAAATGCAACAGGATGGCGTCATGCATGGACCATCTTACCTCCGTGAGAATGGTGGTTTCATAAGAAGGCTGATATTTCTCCTTCTCCTGTGCTGTCTTCTTCTCCATTTTCTCTCTGTCGGTCTTCTGTTTCCTGTCAGCCCCTTTAGGCTATAATCACAGAGCACAAGCATTTCCTTATGCCAAGTACTACAGGGCTGGTAACAGAGGGCCACAGGTTTTGTTTCATCTGCGTACAAAAGTCTTGTTGACATCTATGGGCTTTCTACACATGGAAGGAGAGCAGGACAAGGCCTGTATTTTTCAAGCAGCCATTTAAAACAAGACTCTCTCGTGCCTAACACATGCTTTGATCATTCCTGTAGCCCTTCCGACACATGCCGAGGGTAAAAAGTCGCCCCTGTGATTGGATACTGGCCGTTTTAAAGCGCGAATCTCAGTTAGGAGGGTCAGTAAACATTGGCGCAAATTCTCTGGGAAACCTCAAAAAGTACAACAGCCAACACTGAATTCCCTCCATCAAGGAGGGGACGTAGATTCGGTTTGGACCCCTGCTTTAACGAGTCCCTCCCTGGAAGGGTAACAGCTCATTCTAGGTTTGCGGCTCTGCTATGCAAGGAGGCGAGATCCTGGCTCTGTTCATTTTCCACTCCACTGCATAGGAAAGCAGGGGGCCACTGACTAAAGCATCAGTTTGGTGAAACCAGTTTGGGCAGCAGTCGTGCTCCTAACCTCAGGGGGAAGCAAGACCACTCGGGAGGACTGCCCTCCCATTCTTGACTGCCTGGCTGCAAATGATAAGCATCCAGTTTTTAAGATGAAACTGGATGCTTATCTTGCTGGGATCCTATGACCCCAGCTGACTTCCTGCCCTTTGGGCGGGGGGCTGGACTCGATGATCTTCCGAGGTCCCTTCCAGCCCTGATGTCTATGAAATCTATGAAATCTATGAAATCAAGAGAACTCTACTGAACCCACGGGAATCGCTCTGGATTTATACAAGAACAAGTTCGTAGGTGCCTGGATGCTTCATAATATTTTATACGCGCACACGGTAGTGCCTTCCGAAGCATAGCAGAATTAGCAATAAAGAGAGTGTTAATTCTAAGCCATATCATTATATACGTCTTGTCTTATATCCTATATACACCTCTAAACATTAAAATAGAATGGTTTATATTTATATAATCTATAATTTAATATATATTATATATTTGTGTATGTGTGTCTGTGTATATACACACGCGCGCACACACATATACATGCACACATGGGCACACACACGAGCACACACATACACACGCGCACACTCGGGCACACGCACGCATGCGCACACACACGGGCACACACATACATGCACACGCACATACATACATGCACACACGGGCACACACATATACACGCACGCACGCGAACACAAACACACACATATACACGCACACACACACACATGCACACATATACACACACGCGCGCACACACACATAATCTACATTAAATTATAGATGATATTATATAGAGGTCTATATAGGATATAAGCCATATATAATTATATGGCTTAGAATAAACACTATCTTTATTGCTAATTCTGCTATGCTGCAAAAGACAATACCTCTCGGGAGTTAAGCCGCCTTCGATATAACAATTTCATTCTGCATATGGGCGCCTTCTCATGGAGTTGTCATTCCCAGCACCACAGCCATAAGCTGTTTAAAACTTCCGAAACAGCACCCAACCGCAGTCATCTCTCTCACATTGCATGGGTTATGGAAGGATCCATCTCCAAGGTCATGAGTCTAATCAGGGTCACGCAGCTAGATGCACAGCATGGTTTGTACTGCTATAGTACCAGGACGTTTGGCCCCTTCACTCCCAGGAAAAAGTTCCCTTGGAAGAGCTGGAGAGTCACCACTTTAATGGCTTTCTTCCTGGCTCTATTCTTGTAATGTAAGCAACACTAGCACAAACATTTTGAAAACCTCAAGTCCTGCAAGACCAACATCCCCCCGTCTTACCCCCGAGACAACTTAGGCAAGCCAGAACTAGCCCGTACCTTGAACACTTTGATCTGACAGCTTGCCGAATGCAAGTGCTCTGTATATTCGTCGTTCTCGTTCTGCTTAAAGGTGTCAATTTGTACCCGGAAGGGCACTCCTTTCTCCCCGCCATGTTTCCGTGGCGTGAACTCTGTGCTGATACAATGTACCTGGAAAAACCGAGATTGTGTTTGTAATAGATTGGGTGGGTGAAGGAAAGCCAGCACCACCCTGAAGTTCGGGGATCAAAGGCAGTGGTTCTCCACTGCACTTCTAGATTTGAGGTGCGCCCCTCAGAAAATGCCAACTCTTAGGTTTTTACTCATTTTTTTTTACTACAGAAAAACACTACAGCCATGAATGCCACGTGCCCCCAGAAGCTGGGGGGGCATGGCGACTGCCTGGAGGCAGTGGTGGTGGTGGTGGGAGCGTGGCAGCGGAGAGCTCCTGCAGGCGGTGGTGGTGGCAGCGGTGGGAGCGTGGCAGCGGGGAGCTCCCGCAGGCGGCCACAGCAGTGTCAGCAGCAGGGGGGTGCGGGGATTATGGATTAACATTATGGATTCCTATTTGAAATCTCTGGATTTATCTTGTGAATCATGTTTGCACATTCAACAGCGCTAACGCTGCATGCCATGTTGGGCACCCTTGAAAAGCTATCAAGGCATCCTCGCGTGCCATGGCACCCTGGCTGAGAATCACTGGCCTAGGGGGACAGGGTTTCAAGTGGATGGGACAATCGCACGCGTATTCATCAAAGCAATCGGAGTATTTCTCTCACATGCACTTTGGCTCCTGTTTCAGTCTCTACTTCTATCAAGCGTCCCATGCTACAGACTATCAGCACCACCATTTACTCCTTACCTGGATGAATGCCGACGCCCTCTTTGATGGATCCCACAGAAATTCAACAGTGTTCAGCTGGGTTGGGCTGGCTCTGGGATCCAAGATGCCAACTGACAGGGGGATATCTGTAGGAGAAAACCCCTAAAATGTTGTAAAAATATCAAATTGAAGCAGAGAAGCGGAGTTTCAGACACGCAACGAGACCCATGTAAACAGCCAAGCCAACCAGTGATATCTCATTTTAAACCAATGCAGTCGGGGGTGGTGTTCAACCCCAGACGTACCATTTTTTAAGCAATAATGAAAACTATGGCTTCTAAACATGGTACAGGAAACACAATGAAATAGTCTCACCTATGTCAAGGATGCGGTCCCCCGGACGACTCCATCGCCATCCTTCCAGCTGCTGGTGCTCCGTGTACTGCAGGCGCCGGTCGTGGAAAACCACACGAATGATGCTCTGTTAAGAAAGGAGGGCAGGAGGAATTAAGTAATCCAGAGGCTCTGGTCGAGAGGAGATTTTGGTTTCCCCACTGGGAAGTCTGTCCTGTTCTTCCTACTCGTGTCTGTTCTGGAGGAGAGCAGTGTCCCATGAAAGTCACCCAGCACCACACCTGTCCGATTTCCAACAGGACCGCTGAGAATTGCTTCCACAAGGCAATGCTCTCTTTGCACTTTCCAATTGACAAGGTCTCTGCAATTTGCCCTAATTCCGGCAACAGATGGTCCGTCATTGATCCCCAGTGCCGCTACTCAAGTACAGACTGGGAAAGCCTCTGTTTACAATCAGCAGCACTTTACCCCAGCATCACTTGAGGCGTGCACCAGCACGGCTACGTCAATGGTCGGCAACAAACCAATTGCTGGAATCAGGACAAGTGCCCAGTGCGGACAAAGCCAAGAGTAGCGGTAACACCTAGCACTAAATGTCTTCCTTTGCATAGTCAAAGTGATACGCTAACATGAGCCAAGTACCCCTCACCTCCCAGTTTCCAAAGGAAGTCCATTTCCTTGCTTTGACCATCTATTCAGGATGGAAGCAAGAGATGCATTTTTTCATATGATCTAGAGAAAGGCCCAAATTGGACCCTAAACCCAAGCACCACAATCTGAAAGAAGCCAGAAGTGCAAAATCTGAATCCAGATCCATATTTTGCAAGTTCTTCCTGTTTTTTATTCTGCTCTTTATAGGACACCTAAATCTGCCTAAACTAGGGAGATGTTCTAAATCCAGATCTGGGTCCAAATTTTGCAAGCGTGCCCCCTCTCTTCCCCTCAGAAGAAAACCTGGATCACTCCAAACAAGAGTTTGGGTGAGGAAGGTTTGATATCATTACAAGACCTGGATCCAAGATTTTGAGTGGCCCCGTTTTGTTCCCCCCAAGTGAAATCCCCAGGACCAGAACCAACTTCTGTACTTTGTGGGCTGGGCCCACGCCAACGTGAACTGGAACTGTGCAAAGTCACATGAAAAATGGGGTTCCTCCTTCTGAGGGCACATCTCGGCACAGGTCTATTGATCGTGGGGCCAATTTATAGCTTTGCATGGGTTAGACAGGAGACATTGTGACTCTCAATGGTACTGACCCCCTTTAGCCTTGAATTTTGGGATTCGTTTGAACCCAAAGCTCAGTGAAACTCTAAGGACATGACCAGGACCAAATGAAAAGCTTACAGGAAACCCCACAAAGCCAAACTGCAGAGTCCCACACATCTCTACGGTTCAGGAGTCAGGCCTTCAGTCCCATTTTCATTAAACACAATGGCAAGATATCTCCCATTGTCTTCAATGTAAGCAAGGCCTTGCCTTTTATTGGTATCTGTATGTAGTAGCAGGAAGAAAAGAAATCTATATTTCTCCTTACCTTTACATATTTTGTGTTTAAATCTTGAAACTCTCCCACTTTCCTATTCTCAAGTAGACGGATTTCATAAGACTGACCTAGAGTTTAAGGAAACATTTCCAAGGTGTTTAACATGTTGTAGCAATGAGAGAGAGTCATGCTGGCATTTATGTTGCTAATAAAGTATTAGACTGATCAGGGAAAGCTCATTCTTGGCAACGTAAGCTTGTTTGTCCCACTAATGAGTAGGCCTTAAAGCCAGGCAGATGTGAGGGGAGGGTAGTCTCATGGTTAGGGCACTTGGGCTGGCGATGAATAGATCTGGGTTCATCTTCCAGCTCTTCCACAGACTTCCTGATGACTTTGGGAAAGGCACTTCATCTTCCCGTGCCTTCGTTCACTTATGTAACATGGGAGCAAATAGCACTTCCTTGGTCTCGTCTATTTAGTCTAATCGTTCGCATTGGGGACTGTCCCTCCTGAACAGCTAACACAACGGGGCCTCTTCGTTCTACTACGGTGTGAGCGGGGATAGTTTGGGTCTGATCTTGCACCCCATCCACTTCAACAGGAGTCACGAGGACTTGAATGTGGCCTTCTGACATACAGCTCTTGGTTCTGACATTCATCCTGCAGGACCAGCAATGGACCCTGCAACTTATACAGCAATGCCTTGCTATCCCCAGGAGGGATGCAGCCAAAGCAATTGTTTCCGCATGCATTAAAGAACTGCCAGTACATCCACAGTGGCAGCATATAGGACTGAGAGCAAGATACAGAAATTACAGTGAACCTAAGATACCAGAACCTGGACCTGCAATGAACCTTTTGCATGCAACCCATCTGCACCGAACCAGTGCCTGGAACAAAGGCAGGGCAGTGTCAATACAGTAAAAGGAGGAAGTAGATACCCAATATAGCCAGTTTTTCCAGTTTGTCTTGCCATCCCCTTTTGCTGAAGAATGCAGCTGAAAGTGGAACAAGGCAGGCCCTCAAATGGCGATCGCTGCTGATTTTCCAGCTTAACCTGTGTTATCCTCCAAAGGAAAAAAAAAAAAAACAAACCCCTACGAACAGATGCATCTCCCTCAAAGCAGCTGTCACTCATCGGCGAGAAAAAATGCTACATGTCTGGATTTGAATCCGGGAAAAGCAGACGTGAGATAACAGGTACAGTATTTGAACAGAGAGCCTTGAGACTCGTGGCTGTTCCAGCTGGCATTGTGCAAAGGGGCAACATCAAAACATCACAGGAGCTCGGGGTAATGAAGCTTGTTCTACCGGCCAAATAGAAAGGCCGGCCATGTTCTAGCCCCAGCGTTTGCACCAGACACCTAAGGCTGACAGTGAAGACCCATAAGCAGGATACAACCCTGGCATCCAGCAAGTGTCTAGAAGTGGGGAAAAAAGGTACCAAATAAGTGGCATATAGTGTTCCCAAATCGTACCGTATTTACTTAAATCCAACACATGGCTTCTTCCCTCCCAACCAGCACTAGGGTGCACCTTCGTGGGGCAGGTGGCACCTGTGCTCCACCTTTGGCCCCAGACCCAAGCTGGAGCTGAGCTGCCACTTGCTCTGGGCTGCAATGGCTTATTTAGCAGGGAAGGGGGAGAAAGCTTGCAGCCTCCCCCACTACCTCCTCCTCCTCTCCCCTACACGTCCCCCCACCCTGCCTTCTGCTTTGGCTCGGGTACTTCCAGCACCAACCCTGCCCAGCCAGGAGTTTCCACTGCTTTTCCTGGCTGGGCAGGGCAGGGCCATACTGCTGCTGACATCGCTCAATGGGAGTAAAGTTGCGGCAGAAAATAAGTGGGGGAGGAAGGCAGGCAGAGGCAGGGAGGAAGGGGGCCAGCTGCAGGAGGGAGCAGGGAGTGGGGGAGACAGCTGCCCACTGCCCATTGCCCTGGAGGAGCAGAGCTGCTCCAGAAGAAAAAAGGGGGAAGGGACTGGCACAGGCCTGGGGTGCAAGGGGTGGGGTGAGGACAGGCACAGGATATGGAGGGACAGGCCTGGAAAGGGGCAAGAGCAAGGGGCAGGGATCTAGACCCTCATCCTCCCCGCCATTGCTTTCCCCACCGCATCAGTGGGGTTGCGGGGAAGGGACATTTAAGACACCCTACCACTAATTAGATTCTATACATGAAAAGCTATAACACATGTATAAATTTTCCATGTACAGAAGCTAATTAGAGGAAGGTTGCCTTAAAATTGAAGTGGGCTTGGATGTGGGTAAATATGGTATGTGCACCTTTTGGAAGATGTGGGCCAAAAGCACCTGGTTTACTTTCAATAGAAACTCGTTCTCGCCACAAGGGCACAGGATGCAGGCTATGGGGCGCCTGGCTTTTGTACTAAGGAAGATTAGCGTGTTCAGCGAGTTTAAGAGTTCCCTGAAAAACAGTGGAGAGCTAGATACCTTTTATAGGAGTCCGGGCAGAAGTGCCAAACACACGCTTGACTTTAAGTAACAGAAACTCCACTGACTTCCAAGTTAAGCGTGCGTTTAACTGGTTTGTGGGATTCGGACCTTTCCTGTCCTCCTTGTTCGACACACCTCAAATTCTCTCCAGACAAAAACACCTCCCTCCTCCACGCCCAGGTTCATTTCCAGACACATTTAAGTAATCTACCAGAAGACGAGGGGGAGAGATGGCAAATGGGAAGGAAAGTATGCAAAGGCCATCTTCCTATTAATACGCACGCTATGGGAGATCACAAGAAGTCCAGCACGAACCGCCCAGCAAGTGCCAATGCCAAACCTGCAAGGGCACTTTCTACTGTAATTCACACCGTCATTGAAACCATCGTGCAAGACCAAGCAGGAAATGCACTTCACCCAAACACCTGGAAGCAGCCAATTTGGGGTGTTTCTACTCCCATTTGCAGACTGAAACACTGAAATAGAAAGGTGAAGGGATTTAACCAAATCCATGCATAGGGAGTCAGTGGCAGAGTCAGGTTGAGCACCCAGGACTTTCCAGAGCAGAGTCATTAAAAATGAGGGTTGAAGGGACCTCAGGAGGGCACATCTTTTCCAACCCCCTGCTCAAAGCAGCACCATCCCCAACTATATCATCCCAGCCAAGACTTTGTCAAGCAGGGTCTTAAAAACCTCCAAGGATTGAAACTCCACCACCTCTCTGGGTGACCTGTTTCAGTGCCTCCCCACCCTCCTAGTGAGAAAAGTTCTTCCTAATATCTAACCCAAACTTCCCTTGCTGCAACTTGAGACCATTGCTCCTTGTTCTGTTATCAAATGCTCAGAGTCAAATGCTCAGTGCCCCATAAAAACACTTGACACTTACTTAAGTGAGCCGTAGAGGCTCTCATCAGCCTCTACTGTGTTGGCCTTGTTTGAACTAACCTAACTCGCCCATTATCAGCTTCCATAAGAAAAAAACTTAATAGGGCCCTGTTCCCTCCAAGCCATCTGTATATACCAGAACTTTGTACCACAAGCTTTATCGCCTATAGTCCCAGCCTGGTTACCAAACACCGGCCTGAACTTGAAGATCCCCTAAAATCGAAACGATTCTGTACAGATCCAGACTAAAACAAGGAGAAAACAGACAGACATTCTCCCCATGTACAAATCCTTTCCCCACAAAGGCCTGCCATGTTAATATTAGTTGAAACCCAAGGGAAAATGCTTTGTGCAAAAACAAAGGGGTTATCAGACTTGAATATCCAAAACCCATCATTCAAAAAGACTTTCCCACAGTAGCTGGTTGGGTTTCAGGCTCTAGATGCTCTACACAATTCCTCCGCAGAGTACTTGTCAGATAAGAACGCGGCCCGTTGAGTTTCACAAATGTTTCTATGGCACGTGCCATACTTCACATGCTTCCTAAATGTCCTTATGGAACAATTCCCTGCCGCCCCACCCTCGTCGGAAAGCAGGTCTTACATAATCTTGACTACAGGCAAGGTTAGCATTCCTCCACACTCGCCACAATTGGCCTTGATGCTGCGACAGGGCGACTCACTCAGATGTGCCGTCAAATCCTCTCCCTCCGATTCTCTGCAAAAACTTTCCCTTTGTGTTGCAATTAAGGAAGATCTGCATTAGACTTAGTAATTAGGGGTTCAAGTCTCTTCTCAGTTATGCAAATCTTTTATGTAAATAATAGGCAAAGTATGACAGCAGTAGCGGCCTTAGGGGAGGGCAAACCAGGCGACCCCATAAGAGACAAGAGCCCCTGTGTAAGATTTGAAAATCATAACCTGGGGGAGTCTCGGATTTTATTAGGGCATTGTGATGAGCAGCCCAATTTTATTCGCAGACACCCACCAAGTGTCAAAGTGTAATTTGAACCCTGGATTCATTAGTCCGTGGTCGATGCTACCCTATTATTCCCTGCTATGGATAGAAAAGATCAGACGGGGCTCAGGCACTTTTTACTACTCTTGTTCAGGCCAGCTCTAAGGAAGGTTAGAGGATGCCTGGGGAAATGGGGATGCCCGCTGCAGTTCCCACTACTCCTACCAATGATACCGCTGCACCAGTGAGGGTATTACAATTGCCCATTGATTATTGTGGATGTGGCAAGAGTTATTGTTGTGGAAATACTGGATCACAAGTATTGTTTTATAGACTAGGAATGAAACCTGGCCCTGACTAAAACCAATGCCTACGTCACCGGTGACTTCAGTGAGAGCCAGGACTTCACCCAAAATCCGAGGTAATCCCAGAGCCATATGAAGTCACTCAAGAATCAAATGGGCGCAGATTTACAGCTTTCTGTGCATGCTACACCAATCCCTCTGCTACAGATATGAAAGAAAAAAAAAAAAAAACCTCAGTTAAGAAACATGGGGGAACAAAATACTGAACTCCAATTCCTAGAACAGACAGAGATCCAGGCTAGTCCTGCCACTGAACCCATCCTACGGTGAGCTGACTTTTGCATGTGAGCACCTCCAGAAGCATAGGAAAGAGTTTTCCCTTAACTGAAGCTATTCATCCATGATCCCTAGGGTTACAGACAGGCCCAGAACCAGGTAAATACCCCAGAGAAGTGCATGCAAGGCCTGACTACCTAGACCAATGACTGCAAGACCTGCAATGACTGCAAGACCTGACTACCTAGCTGG